ATTTGAATAAAGGTTGGATTTTCCTTGTTAAAAAAATGTCCAATATTATTTAGATAAAAAGCTGAATTCATTCAATGCTAAAGAACACATCTTAACCAGGGGTACTGATAATTATGAAGATAGAAAGATGGATGAATCGATCACTTGTAGGTAGCTTGATGGATTATAGAGGGGTAGGTAGAAAGCTAGTTTGAGATACAGTAGAGAAAAGCTGGATGCAAAGATAGATGATAAATAGATGCTGTATATAGATGGTATGCTGTATAGATCCAGTCGATCAATATGGATAGATAGAAAAATGCATGGATAGGTTTGCTAAATGGTAGTGTATATTCGTCATCCCATGATGGAACTTGAACGACTGTACATGTATGTATTTTACATGAAAATAGAGCACAAAAATATCATGTGTGATGATCCTGATGTTGTCAAAATATGTTCTGCCATTTTATGGCAGACAGCCTTGGTAAAGCCATAAAAAAAGAAAGGCTCAAAATGGCTCTTGTTGGTAACGTAACACAGAGGAGGTAAAAATTGAGTCTCACAGGATATGAATAATTGAACTGAAAAAAGCCAGCCCATTTGGAGGGGTCGGGGCGGCGATGCACTAGCTTGCGATCGTCACTCACAGCTGCAGATATGTCAGAGAATTTCTATTTTTACACTTACGTGTGATTGGTCCAAGTGGCGGATGCTGAAAAGCTTTGAAAATGACATTTGAGAACCAGAACATTTTTTTATTGGCCAGTATGTTGGAACAAAAGGAATTTGTCCGCTGTAGTTGGGAGTCGATTGTACAATAGCAAACAAAACACAATCACAACCATCCATCCATTTTCTGATCCACGTATCCTCACGAGGGCGGCATGCGTGAAAGAGTCTATCCCTGCTGTCTTCGGCAGAGTACACCCTGAACTGCTAGCCAGCTAATCACAGGGCACATCTGGACAAACAATCATTCATACTCACAATCAAACCTAAGGACAATTTAGAGTGTTCCATTAATCTACCCCGCATGTTTTTGTAATGTGGGAGGAAACCGGAGTACCCGGAGAAAACCCACCCAGGCACGGGGAGAACATACAAACTTCACACAGGAAGGCCAGGGCCCCGAATCGAACCTTGCACCTCTGCACTTTGAGGCGGACGTGCCAATCAGTCAACCGCCCTACATTTCGGACATATTCACACATTTACACAGTACACAGAGTCCATCGATCCATTCATCCATTTTCTGAACCACTTTATCCTCACAAGGGTCGCGGGGCATGCTGGAGCCTATGCTGTCCTCAGGCATTAGGCGGGGGACACCCTGAACCGGTTGCCAGCCAATCGCAGGGCACACTTTGACGAACAAACATCCGTGCTTACACTCACACCTAGAGACAATTTGGAGTGTTCAATCAGCCTGCCATGCATGTTTTTGGAATGTAGGAGGAAACCGGTGTACCGGAGAAAACCCACTCAGGCATGGGGAGAACATGCAAACTCCACACAGGAAGGCCAGAGCTGGAATCAAACCCGGTATCTCTGCACTGTGAGGTCGAAGCGCTAACCACTGGACCACCGGGCCGCCTACACATAGTCACTAAGCGATATAAACTGATCAAACTGAATAGAATCATGAAAAGGATGCCGAGTGAAGAAGCTGCGTTTAAGTAGCACAGTCATTGCCTTCAATCTAAACATTTTGACCAGTGTAGTGTGTGAGGTTTACCACTGTACATATTAAAAGAAATCAAACATTAAAAGAAGATAATCTGAGCATCTAAACCATGCTGATGAAATTGTTGCATAAACTACTAATGGTTATTCGCAGCCTGGACTCTTTATTAATTCAATCCTCACTCGCTGTGGTTTGTGCGTCTTTTCCACTTCTCATCCATAATTACACAATTTTGCACACAGCCAGCTGCACAAAATATTAAAAAGCACCCCCCGTCCCCTCCCTAACTTTGGGATAAACTCTTTACTCTCGCTTTACAATTGGAATGTGTATTCAAATGAGGGATTTCACCTCCTGAAGTGAAAAGATGACTGGTTGAGGTCCAACAGGAACATATGGCAGAATGGGATATTTCCTTGTGCTGATATCTGTGTGCGCCTGCAGGATTATCCATGAAGATGGCTTCTCTGGGGATGACGTGAAGCAGTACAAGCCCGTGGTCTACAGTAACACCATCCAGAGCTTGGCAGCCATCCTGCGAGCCATGGACTCGCTGGGAATCGAGTTTGGAGACAAGGATCGAAAAGTCAGTTGCCTCCGGGCTTGAAATGCTCCGACACTAAAATGACTGTCAATAGCACGCTTAAGCACGTTTTATCTTTGTATACAGTAGACGTCCGCTCAAGGTAAAAACTGTCGCAACTTGATTTTTGTGCCGGTGCAAGTCTAGTTTAGTAGTATGGCAGGCTGTGCCGCGCCATGCTGGCCGTATCAGTTCATCGACTTCATTATTATTATCGTCTTTACTATATTTGTAAAAGCACCCCCCTGGGTGCTATCACAGATGCAGGACTAGAGGTGAAAGGCACTCTCTAATGGCGCTTTTCAATTAGCCCGGTTCCACACCAAGATGGCCTTGCTTGGCCCCAAGTGGTTGCTTTTACATTAGACTTTCTTGGGGTTGAGCAGTTACAATGGAACGGCTTTTCAGAATCATCTCAGAGTTGGTTCTAAAATGGCAACTGTTGGGGTTGTTTTGTCACTGTGCGCAGATTAGCCGACAGTGATGTAGCATGGAACTCTGTTGCACACGCCCATTTGCTGGTTTTACACGAGTGAGACAGAGCCGCCCCCGGGCCGTCACCAAAGTCCTAAATACAATATGTAAATAAACAATAGTGTTTGACAACAACACTGAACTATATTTAAATTGAAAATTTAAAGCTTGGGTCCCATTCACTTGAATGAGGTCTCAAGTCGCAGCCTGGAGCCTCGTCACTCCCCTGGCACGATGGTTGTGGCTCTCGAATTGGGCCCGGGGACTTTGGGCGGATGCCGGAGGGCTTTGTATGCCGCAGAGTGCAGACTAAGAGCCGTTGGCTCGGAGAGGTGGTTAAATTAATGAGAGTGTGCTCTCCATTCAGAATGAATGAGCCCTTGCGTGTCACTCCCTAAATCACTATCGCACTATTTCGTCCATGGAACATATGAAATTGTAAATATGGTTCATTATTGCTATAAAACACAAAATATGCGTCATTACACTGTATTTTCCTCTTGATGACGGGCAGTCAGCCACTGGTTGTGTCCCGGTAGTGTCTCTCGCTGCTTTAAACCTTGGAAATAGATTTTCGATGTGTATGTGAAAGCTTCCATGCATTTGATAGGCTGTACTTTGTGATGTCGCCGCAACAGCAATTCATATTTTGAATCGCTGCAAAAACAGTGGCTGAGACTCGCCACTTGTGAAATGTTACGGCAGAACACCACAGTGCGAGTAGGCACTGTCCAGTGCAAGGTTGCACAGTTCAGTTGATCCCGGCCCCACCTCGCTCAGAGCCTGTGGTAATAAAAAAGCAAAGGAGGTTGTGTGGTGTGGTGTGGTGGTGTTTGGGGCTAATGGAAAAGTGCCCACTTCACAATGGCCAACTTTAGATCCGCAAGTGGAGATCTTGCAGTTACTTGCTAAAAACTTTGCATGGTCAAATCTGCTCTGTGGCCTCCAACAACTCTGCTATGCATCTGCCATATAGACTGTGTGCCTCTCCTGCACTGAATTTAAAGAGAATGAGAGGAGCCACTTCCATCTGGAAGCAAGTTGGCTGAATTCACTCCCACAACTGCACCAACCCACATTTCTAACTGCGCCCGGCTACGAAAATACCAAAAGAAAGTAAAGTCGACCTATGCGCTCAGTTGAACACTTTTCCACTTTGCAGTCAGTCAGTCGATCTTTGATCGACAAGCCGGCGCCGTTTCTGGGTGTTGTTGGTAAAATGACTTTGGCTTTGCATAGGAGAGTTGCACTTGCGGATATGACGCCCCACTGTATTTATTGACATTGGTTTTCTAAAGTGTTCCTGAGCCCCTGTGGTGATATCGTTTACACATTGATGTCAGGTTTTGATGCAGTGCCGCCTGAGGGATTGAAGGTCACGGGCATTCAATGTTGGTTTTCGGCATTGCCGCTAACATGCAGTGACTTCTCGAGATTCTCGAAACCTTTTGATGATATTATGGACCGTAGATGATGAAATCCTTAAAGTACCTTACAATTGTACATTGAGGAACATTGTCCTTAAACGGTTTGACTATTTTCTCACGCAGTTGTTCACAAAGAGGTGAACCGCTCCGATCCTTGCTTGTGAATGACTGAGCAATTCAGGGAAGCTCCTTTTCTTTCCCCCAATCATGGCACCCACCAGTTCTCAGTTAGTCAAATAAAGTCGAGGCAGTTTTTATTGTGAAATAAAATAAAATTAGCCTGTTCACCTGTGGGATGCTGCAAACAAGCGTTTTAATGAGCATTCCTGAACTTTCTCCGTCTTTTTCTGCCACTGTCTCAGTTTTTTTGGAACGTGTTGCAAATTCTAAGCTAATGATTAATGTCACAAAACAATAAAGTTGATCAGGTTGAACATAAAGTATCTTGTCTTTGTAGTGTATTCAATAAAATACAGATTGAACATAATTTGAAAATCATTTTATTCAATTTATATTGATTTTTAACACAACATCCCAACTTCATTGAATTGGGTTTATAGATCGGGGGATGTCGTTCATATTTGTCAACTGTGAACCCGTGAAGCCCTTTGAGATACTTTGGTGAAAGGCTCGTCGATATGTGCCCTGCGATTGGCTGGCAACCCGTTCAGGTTGTACGTCACAAGAGAGTGCCTTGATGTCAGTGACTGGTATCAGTTGCTGTCGCGATTAGCCGATACACTGAAATAAGGTACTTGCCCCCAGTCTCCTGCCCCCAAAACCTAGAATTAATTACATATTTTTTTGTTTTATTTTACGTTGTTGAACAAATTAAAGTTGAAGAACTTCATCGTGGCCTGGAAAGGCATGTGTCATATGAAATGCACTAATCTTTTCCAATTTATCGTGGTTTCATTTGCAGGCGGATGCCAAGCTGGTGTGTGATGTCGTGAGTCGCATGGAGGACACGGAGCCATATTCAGCGGAGCTTCTCAGCGCCATGAAGCGGGTTTGGGCTGACGCCGGGACTCAGGAGTGCTTCAACCGGGCCCGCGAATACCAGCTCAACGACTCGGCCCAATAGTGAGAGGCCAGAATTACACATAAAAGAAGAAAAAAAAAAAGAATTTTGTCGGAACGGTACCCTGGCTTCCTCTCACACTCCCAAAACATTTGTTTGGTTCATTGAAAACTCCAAATTGTCCTTAAAGGGAGAGTCTGTAAAGTTTCGTGCCATCTAGAACCAATAGAATGCAATGACCTAAGATCGAGCGAATTTGATGCCGTAGAGACCAAACTTCGTAAACCTGCCACCAACTTCTCCAACAGAAGTGCAAGCAAAATGTCATCCCAAACAAATTCTAGTATTCCCTCAAGTGATGGAGTAAGTGCATTGCATTTGTTACACTTGTTGTAATCATCATGTTGAGGAAGTTTGTCTCCTGCGAGTATTTGTAACAGACGGATTGTGGGAAACATGGCTGCTTCCTGTAGCGGAGGCGCACCCTTTGTAATATAATTAGCGATTACTTCACTTTCAATTACATAAAAGAATCAAAAAAGATATGATATATATTTGTTTTGCATGTTATTGAAATTAATAGTGGGTTTTTGAAATCATGAACATTGAAAAATCGATAAATGCTTACACACTGTCCCTTTAATAGTGAATGTGAGGGGGCTGGTGACCATTCCAGGGTGTGCCCCATCTCTCACCCAAAGTCAGATACGAGCTCCTGCTCACCCATGACCCTACTGAGGATAAAGCAATAGAAAATGGATGGATGAGTTGTAATTGTTTCTGAATGATCCCCATTTCTTGCTCCTTGTCGTCACCAGCTACCTGGACAGTTTAGACCGGATCGGGGCTGCAGACTACCAGCCCACAGAGCAAGACATTCTGAGAACCCGAGTGAAGACCACGGGCATTGTGGAAACTCACTTCACCTTCAAAAACCTCCATTTCAGGTAGGTCAATCCTTGTAGCCGAGGCGTTACTCTAAAACCCAGTTCAGGGAATTCAGCTCCCATTTGCCGCTATTCCGCAGGCTCTTTGATGTGGGAGGGCAAAGGTCAGAGAGGAAGAAGTGGATCCACTGCTTTGAGGATGTGACTGCCATCATCTTCTGTGTGGCCCTGAGTGGTTACGACCAAGTGCTCCATGAGGACGAAACAACTGTAAGTGTGACTCCAATGAAGGGTTATATATATGAAGAAGTATATTAAGTGTGTGTGTGTGTGTGTGTTTTAAATGCACTTCTAGCAAGCTTTAAAAGGCATCTGGCTGTGATGAATTGGAATTGCTACACCTGCAATTAATTTGAAATATTTTGTGGAGAAGTTTTCTATCTTACATTGTTGCGTGTTTAAAAACAAATAAAAAAAGACAACAGTAGATTTTTAAAGGGAACACCTACAAGTAGCAACTGTACTTATTTGAAATATCGCTTTTATTTGTTTGCAAAAAACTGTACTGGAAACACAGCTAATATTTTGGTCAAAGCGCAAAATCAGCAAATGGGTGAGGAACGGTTGAAAAAAACAAAACAAAACACCAACACCAACACCGCAAAGAGGTAATTTTATGACTGCTGAACTGTGATTTTGCAGAGGTTCACAATCTTTTTTGATCACATTGGTTTTGCAAAATGAACACTTGCCAGTCATACTCGTGACATTATCGAGTACTATTTTCCTTATTAAGGAACACATCACAGAAATTGTTGTTGGTTCTTTTCGGAAGGCTGTAACATTTGTTGATTTCAAAGGAGATGCATGATTGTTTTCAATTACAAGCAGGGTAACGGAACAAATGAAACTCGCATCTGAAGGCATCACCTTATTCCATAAAACAAATCTTCTTGTGGCAGAACCGCATGCACGAGTCCCTCATGCTGTTCGACTCCATTTGCAACAACAAGTTCTTCATTGACACCTCCATCATCCTCTTCCTCAACAAGAAGGACCTCTTTGCGGAGAAGATCAAGAAATCACCGCTGACGATCTGTTTTCCCGAATACACAGGTGACTGTTTGGCTGGCATTTGCCAAATCAACTTCCCTGAAACTTGACATGCGTTCCTCTCCTCTCCTCCAGGTGCTAACACTTACGATGACGCAACTGCCTACATTCAGGTTCAGTTCGAAAGTAAGAACCGCTCTCCCAATAAGGAGATCTATTGTCACCTGACCTGTGCCACGGACACAGGAAACATCCAGGTAGTGTTCGACGCCGTCACCGACATCATTATCGCAAACAACCTGAGAGGGTGCGGCTTATACTGAGCACGGCCGTCGTCGCCGAGAGCGTGAGGCGTTATATCATTTTCATGGTACTTAAAAAAAACAAACCCCCCCCCCCCACAAACACACAAAAATATGTAGTTCAACACATCCGAAATGAACCCAAAGAGCTGCCGCCAGACGTCAGGTCGGATTCATGTCATGATTTTCTCCCCTTCCTCTTCTTATGAGTTCACGACCCCCAGTTTTGTCTTTGAATGTTTGAATGATTTGCCGATGAGCGTAAACAAACAACCGGGGGAGGGGGTAAGGAGCAGCAAATAACCCTCCCCGAGTATTGTCTGCTGCTCCGTTTCGCCGAGCTATAAGATGGCGCAGACGATGCTGCCAATATATCAGGGGAGGTGGCGCTCTCATGGCCAGGAAGCTCTCCTCCCCTTCACATGACCGAGTAGCCCGCAGGTCTTTTCCGCTCCTTTTCTCTTGTCCTTCGACAGAAAGAGAGTATTATCCTGTGTAGAGTGGCCTCCTGTACTCCGAGGACCGCCTGTAGGCCGAAAATATCTCACATGGGGGGAGGGGGTGGGGACGTCATGTTGGTGCCAACCATCTGAGAACAGATCAGGATCCCAGTTGGTTATTATTTAAGGTCCTGACCATTGAATTGTTGATTGTTTTAAGCCTCATGCCCCTTCCTCCAACCACACATTGGATTTGTACTCGTAGCCCTCAATGTGAATCTGTTTAGACATAGAAGACTGCACAAGGAGAATATCACCGGAGGCAGCCTCTGTCTGTGAGGGGACTATCGTATTCCAGGCCTCCATCTTAAAACATTCTCACCGACCACCCATCTCATCCTCGTCACCACGCAGAAGTAGAGCTCTCCATTTTCACCCCAAACTCCGCCTCTCCTTCCCTGTTTCCACATCTCTCCTCATATCCCATCCAATCTCACCTTAAAAGCACCGTATTGTATATAAATATATTACGATTATACCGGATTTTTCTTTTTTTTACTGTAAATGTTTTTGTGCTGCACCCCATCTTATTCTGTAGTTCATTGGTTGCTCTCATGTGGAATGTTTGTGCTGAGCCAATCGAATGTTGTGTTTACATTAAAGCTACACTTTTCCTAACTATTCCCGAGTGTGCGCGTTCATGCTCTCAACATCCACACCGCGGTCGATTTAGGTTAGGTGGCGGAATGAGAATGTGTCGGGCATCCAGGAGATTGGGAGCAGCTTGTGTGTGTGTGTGTGGCAGCGCTCGCTGAAACCCATTATCCAATCGGGATGAACATGAGAAATGTGGCACGGGCGAGCGGCTCGCCATTTATTAGGTTAAAAGTGTTCTAACCTCAGAGACGAGCGGCCATTCCTTTATTGAATGCGAGGCTGGATCAGCTGTCTGACCCGCTTCTGTCACTTTCACGGCTGTGATGTTCATTACAGCATTGCTTCGCCTTGCCGGGGCGGCCTCCTTTCACACAATTACAGGTTAACGGGTTGCTCCTCCCCACGTGACACCATTAATAGACCTTTTAATTACACATTTCAAACTCTTCTCATATTTAACACGAGCACTCAGTCACATGTAGGTCAAAACCTGCACCAGACTGACGCCAGCCTTTCACGTTATGGAACCTTTTAACAGAGTACAGTGAAATGTTCACATCTCTGTACATTACTTCATTGTTAATATTGCTGGCAACCATTACATTTCCTACCTTCCATCTTTGTGACTGCAAAATCAAATCACAAGAAATGACTCGAAGGAAATGCCTGAACTGCGGAGCGTACTGCAGAAGAACAGTCCCGCCTCGCTAGAGCGAGACACGCAATTTACGTGCAGGCTGCTGACTTTGGCGCACACAACACCTCCAGGAGAAAATGACTAAAACATCTACACCGGTGGCGGTGACAAAAAGGGTAACCTTACACACCCTGTGCTGTCAAGTCCTACCGGCGCGAGCTGCTCAACAGGTATGAGCTCTTACTCTGAATTGACAGGGAAGATCATGCAAGGAGTGGACGTGGCAAACCAGGAAATGAATTGAAACAGACAAGCTGGTATGACAGATAAAACCAAGAAACTCAACTTTCAAGAGAGACGGCCGTGTGATTGTTTTATTTGGTATAATGAATGCCAATGTTATTTCCGAGTTATTTTAAAGTGCATTTAGGAATTGATTGTAACTACACGAGTTTCTTGAATTTATGAATGGTGATCAATATATTCTTTTAAGCTTGATTTTGACCCCCCGATTTCAACATCAATTGCATAAGCGGTAACTGTCATTTCTGAGTTAGGACAAAGATTAACTTCACATTACTCAACGCACACATGGGCAAGTTTAGAGTGACATCAAACGTCAGTATTTTTATCGTTATCATGAGCTTTTTATCAGCAGATGGTTAACATGATGGTCATGCTACCATGTTCTGGAGTAAACTAAAAGAAATACAAATTATCAAAATTGCAGATGCTCACTTATTCCCCCCCCACGCCCCCAGCACATTTACATTTGAGCATTACTTAAGCACAGAAAGTGTCACATAATTTGATTCAAGTAATGTAATACAAGGTGACTTTCAGTTGACAGCCCTTCGTCTTACAGCATCCAAGAGTGCAGCAAATGTCCAACAAGATGTTTGACTTCCTGAATTAATTATAATATATATATATATATTTTTTAACCGGCATTGTCTTTGCGAAATGTACCGCGAAGCAAAGCTCGCTGGTCGACGGCTCACAGTCGCAGCCTCTTGATATCCTCGCTTCGGAAGTCAATGCGCAGTGCAAGAACCTGACGCACCTCCGCCGGGGTCAAACGCCACGTCAAGGGTCCGGAGTTTGACCCCCAGTAGTCCAAGATCTCGGTTACCTGCGGGACACAGAAACAAAGTACAGTGAACATAAACTGTTACAGAACCATCAGCGATACGTCTAAATCTGTGATATTGATATGCAATATTAGAGACAAGCCACTGGGCAAATACAAACAATCATTTCCACTCACGCTTAGACCTGACAATTTTGAGACTTCAATGAACCTGACATGCGTGTTTTTGGAAAGTGGGACGAAGCCAGAGTGGCCGGAGAAAATCCATACAAGCACAGGGAGGAAATGAATGTTAACTACAGGTGTAACAAATACCAATTTGAATCAGAAAAATCAATTTTGATCTAGCCAAACTAAATCATTACATTTTAAGATGCATCGAGGTAAGTATCGAATTGCCTTAAACTGGAGGGATGCACGTCCTCATGATAACCCCACAGATGATGGCTGGAGCAGAGACTCGAACCCTAAATATTAGAATAGCGAGGCACACATGCTGAGTCCACTATGCTCCGAGGATAATCCCATGACATGAAAGCAAGGTTTGATTACATCACTTGACTCAAACTGTTTCATTTATTGGGTGATGACGCACGACGCAAAACCAGAGAGGTGTGTGCGTGTGATAGGAGCGACATGTGTGACGAGTGCATCTGAGACAGGAGTGCGACAAGTGTGTATGTGACAGGTATGACAAAAGTGAGAGTGAGTATGACACGAGTGTGTGAGTGTGCGCGCATCAGGTCAGTTACCCGCTCCAGGTTGAGGACGGTGGCCATCTGCGTGAGGCGAGCAAACTTGTCCCTGATGGTCCAGGTGGTGACGGTGGTGAGGTAGGCCACAAGAGAACGAAGCTCTTTATCAAACTGCAGCCCTCCCAGCTGCAGGAAAAATGCCACAAATGCTTCGAATATTGTCAACTTTTTGCAGCGCTTTTCTATTTATACCAGCAATAAACACATTACTGTAAATGGAGAGAGACTATCACGCCAGAGGCTTTCTCCCAGTGAGGGACTTCATGAATTATTGCTCGAAGGCTTTTCAATTCAGTTGCGCCCCAGATGTGCCGCACGAGGTGCTCGCTGCCACCTTGTGGCCGAGCGCAGCGCCTTACCCTGCTGAATGAGCACTTGAGGACCGTCTTCTCCATCTCGATGGATATTAAGCTGGTCATCAGGCTGGTCAGCGTGTCATAGATAACAGGAGAAAGGCTTGTCTGGCGACGAGATAGAGAAGAAGTTAAAAAAAAACAGAATGAACAGAACTGAAGTCAAAGGGGAATTAAATGAAGCGTGGAAATGTAGACTGGCTAAATGTGGTCATATCCCATTGAGCAGCGTTATTTTGAAGTTGGAATGATTTGGGTCGGTCAAGAAATGTGGAAGAAGGAACTAAACACATTCAACATCTCTGCCACCTCTCAAATAAAAATATAACTAACCAAAAAATAAAAATGAATGAATGAATGAGAATTCCAAAAAAAAAGTTCCCTGAATTCCCCCGTATTGGAGTTTTACTGTGAAAATTTGGGAATGTGCTCAACAGTTCCCAAGATGTTTCAAGAGATCTGAATTTTGAAATGATTGGAATCTATTAAGAAATTAGGAAGGAGCAGGGGAAAAAAAAAAATCGCAATTTGTGAATTTTACTTGGAAAATTTGGGAATTTCAAAATTGTGTACAGAATATATGCCATGCTGGGAAAACTGGAAATTTTGGGAACGTGCATTGTAATGAATATTGTGATGTTGGAATAGTTCGAATGGTAGAGAAATATGGAAGGAGTAGAATAGGGAAATTGTCTGAATTTAAAAAAAAAAAGGGGGGTGGGTGGTATAGAATAATGTGTACGTGCTCTTTCTGCTAACTGATGGTGCTGACACCTTGAACTCGGCCATCAGCTGCTCCAAGTTGACGATGAGCTGCTGCACCCAGGGGTCGTTGGCTTCGTAGTCATTGAACTCCTCCTGTAAGCGACAGCGGCCGTTACGAGGGGTTGCGCCAAGGGCTTTTGAATTTGCCAAAGATGGTCTGACCTCCTCGATGTTGTGCGAGATGGACAGGAAGCCGCTGATCCAGGGCTTGACTTGAGGCTTGATGGCTGTCGTGTTCAGCTCGGTCAGGCCCTCCTAAAACAGCAAAGTCAAGCGTTGGAACATCCACAGAGTTTTTAGAACGAGTATGTAATAATACAGCACTTTAGTCGGAAATATTCCAGTCAGGAGTAGCTCCAATGAGTGTTTTTGTGCCTCCAACCTGCAAGA